AACTAAGTTGTTGAGTATTATATCATATATATTAAAAAAAATCCTTAATTATTGGATAAAGAATTGAAATAGTTGAATAATTTACATCACTCAAAAAATTTATAGCTTGTATAAATAGATAAAGAACAGATATCAATTTCTTAATACCATTCCATTTATCTCTTGTCATAAATAATGTAGCTAAGTTATTATCATTTTTATGTATTTTAGCATCATTATTTATTTGCATTACTTCATATCTTGTTTGAATTGCAGATTTTAAAATAAGAAGTCTTTCAAGAACTTTATATATAGAATTCCATCTTGTATCAATATCTTGAATTGGAGCAAGTATTTCTTTGTCAGGTTGAAGAACTTTTTGTATTTGAAAAAAATGACTTCAATATTTATCACAATAAATAAAAAAAGATTAAGTATTTTTGTCTTTCTTAATAATTCTTGACAGGAATTGATTTATAATTCATCAGATACAGCTAAATGAATAGTATGTGCACAATAAGAAAGATTGGTAATTTGTAAGTTCTGAAATACTTTTAATATCTTTGTATTATTATTACTTATACTAGCAATAATTCATTCTTATAGATTAATATATTAATGATTAAGTATATATTGTAATTTTGCAGTTATATTTATACCAGTATAATTATATAGCATTTTCTCAATCATCAGTAAGACTTGTTGAAGCTCAAAATTCTTAGTTATTCAATAAGCAGTTATGCCAATATAGAATTGATGAAATCTAGTTCATAAATCAGTTATATAACTTATTTTTGTTATAATTTCATTAAGTAAGCCAGTCAAAATTTGATATAAAAATTCAACACTTTGTGCAATTAAAATTTTGATTGTATTATCACATGGAATTTTATAACTAGGATATAAAATGGTTAAAAAAACTTTAAATTTTTTATTTTCTAATAATGTAAATAGTTATAAATTATTAATTATAAATTCCAAGAGATGAAAATCTACTTGTTTCTGTTTATTCTTTGAGAGTGGCTGAATTATCATATTATATTCTTGAATTATTTATTATCTTATTTCTTTTTTTTAAGTAGTTAATATATTTTTCATTATAAGATGAACATGATCAAGATGATATGCATAGAAAGTTGTAGCAGTATTCAAAGAAAAAATTGCATTATATTCTGTAACTTTATATTTAGCATTTCATTCATTTTCATCTCTATTAAACCATTTTCATACCTAGCTTGTATTTGATTTTGAATACTTTTTTTCTGTTTCATTAATACAGATATTTATGAAGAATAGATAGCAATTGTTAATGCAGATATTTGTGAAGAATGAGTAGCAATTATTGATAAAATAACTGATGATATAGATTCATCTTCAATATCAGTATCACTTTTTTCAAAGTCTCCAAAATTATTAAAGTTTATCATTATTGACTCATGAATTTGAAGTTGTTGATTATCAAGTACAGAATCAAATAAGAAAGAAAGGGAAAATAGCATTTGATTTATGATATTTTAATCTATAATATTGATATTAATAGCATTTTGATTTGTGATGATTTTGTTTTGATTAGTAATATTTTGTTTTGTAGTAATTTTGGTTTGGTTCATAGCATTTTGATTTATAGTAATAGTTTTATTTTGGTTTGTGATGGTTTGGTTATCATTATCATTATGTATAATTTATGTAATTGATATAGTTGATTCTTGACATGAAAAATTAGTCTGAAATTTTTCATTAATAGGATCATAAGAATAAAAGATATAACTTGATGCTTTTTTTTTATATTTATTTATATTATTATTATTTAATAAATATAATTATATAATTACATTCAAGTTGGTTTATCATTATTATTTAACAAATATAATTATATATTATATTCAAGTTAGTTTATCATTATTTATTATCATTATCATTATACATACTTATTTAGCAATAATATTTATATTTAGAAATGATTAACTGTATAAGAAATTTTTAACCAGTTAACTAGTTAATTAGTGATTAACTGATTAAGAATTAATCAGTTAGAATTACTAATACATATAACCAAATTTAATTTCCTAATCTATTTCATCCAATAGGATAATAGAATAAGAAAAAATTACAATCATATGATTTTTTACCTCTCAGTAAAAATGAATTTGATGTAAAGAACTTTAATTAAAAACTTTATTTTGACACTTGATATTTTTATTAATTGACTGATGTTTGTTATAACTGAGATCTTTATGTATTATTTAACAACATTTTAGATTGCATTAAATCAATTAATTAATTTATATTTTTTTATCTTTCAATTAGAAATTTTGTTGGAGATAATATAATTTTTGTTGCCAAATTTCTAATGATTAATAATATAATTCAAGACTTAAATTTCTGAATAAATACCTTTGTAAAGCTAATTACTTGAAACTAATTTATAAGTTATTATCTGTTATAACATATGCTTGTTATTTTGTCTTATAACTCTTTTCATCTATTCAATTGATAGACTATGATTCTTTTTAGCAGTATTATTCTATGTATTTATAATGTTAATTCAATCTTGACCATATGAATTACTGGATGTCATGTATTTCTTAAACCTGTCAAAGGAAGATTATCTAAAATTTTTACTAGTTAATATTTTTTCAAGATCATATTATTTTCTTAGTTTTCCACCATTCTGAGAAAATGAGAATGGAGAGTTATCTATATTATAAGTAAAATATAAAGAATGAAGAGTTTAGCTATGCCATAAGCAACAGAGAATTTATCTAAAAGACAAAAGAGAGTTTATCAAGATCACCAATTTAGATAATTTTAAGTAAAAAATAATATAATAGCTGGTTTAAAAATTATATTTAGTCAAATAATAAACTGGAAGTAAAAATTTATTCAAGTAATTGAGTATGGATAACTAAGTGTGGGCAAATGAAAGTGAGTAAAAAAAATAGAGAAAATTATATATTAATGAAAAAATATATATTGTCAATATTTTTTATTATAGTAAAAAAAAATACTTTATTTATAGATGTTTTCACTAAATATATCATTAAAATTTATTTAAAATACTTGTCATTTTTTTTATTAAAATAAATTTAAATATTACAAATAGTATTATAGAGTTTTCTAGTTAAATTTTTATATAATTTATATATTCTTTGAATCCTATAGTGATTATATAATATTTATTTAATCTATCTAATACATGTCAAATTAAAGTTTAATTAATTTAAATATATAAAAATGCTTGATAAAATTCTAGTACAATTAATATTTGTTTTTAAAGTAATTAATACTTATTTTTAATAATTAATATTCATTTAATAATTTATTAATTTGCATATATTAGCATAATATTTTGATAATTCACTATTTTTATTTGTTTTAATAATGAATATTGAATTAAGCTGAGTTAATATTTTAATAAATTAAATATTTTTTGATTTTATTAACTTGTATATTTATATAGTATATATAATATATATAATTCTTTTAATTTTATTAACTTGTGTATTTATATAACTTATATAATATTTAATTCTTTAATTTTCTTAACTTATATATTTGTATAATATATATATATATATGATTCTTTAATTTTGTTAATTTGTATAATATATAAAATATATATAATTTTTTATGTAATTATTATCTAATAAATTCATAGTATTCATTTAGTTTTTTTTTATCAATCATTCTTCTCTTATCTAATTATTTGATTAGAAATATTCAAGTTCTATCAATTAATAATTTCTTGTCATTTTACAAGACTAAAATCAGATATTATCTTTATATATTGCAATATTATATTAGTTATTTCGCTCTAATTTTTCTTACCAGTCCTTTAATAAAGTATTATTACTTTTTTAATATCTCTTATAATATCTATCTATTATAATAAGAGATAATAAATATCTTATTTTCATATTTATTTATGAATACTTTCAACTTCTTTAACTCTTTAGAGCATATATATTTTTCTGAATATTCTGTTAATAAAGTAGAAAATTAGTGAGATATCTCTTTCTATCATGTATTTCTTTCATGAAATTTATTTATATTTTCATATTTATCTCTATATAAAGATGTTTTATATCTTTTTTAGCCTTTTAGATATTTTCTTATAAAAATAATAAATATTTTACTTATTATATTTATCTGTAATTACATTTAATATATTTTAATTTTATAAAATCAAAAAGATATCTAATAAATATGTTATAATGATTAATTATTTTTTTTGTTTATATTTATTTTAATTGCTCACTTACTTATAAAATGAAAATCTTATTCTCTTATTTATGATATGTGAGATAACTAACTAATAATAATAAGTACTAATAATAAAATTTTATCATTATATAATAAATATTATCTTTTATTTTTTAAATTAATTGAAATTTAACTTTTACTTTGTGAAAAAAATGAGAAATAAAGAAAGAGCTATCTATCTTGAATAATTAAAGATTAACATTCTTTGAAAAAAAGAACGTGAAGAAAGCTTGATTCTTATATATAATGGTCATAAGATTTTCTAAAATCAAGTAACATCACTGATTTCGAATACATGTATAAAGAGAAATTAAATAATCGATCTAAAAAATTCACACTTACACTTGGTGTTTTTACACTTGCGTATATGCAACTGACATTTTGGAAGCTCACTGGTAATGATAAGTAAAGGTAAATACAGTTCTAATTTTTCTCTAATATACATGTGAAGCAAATTTTTAGGCTGGGATATTTATAGTGTTTGCTGGTATCGTATTTATTAGTTTCTTTTGTAACATTTGCTTTTTCTGTAAGTAGAACAATTTCGTATTTTGAAATGAACTTGTGTATCCTGACAGTTACTTTGCATTCTTCAGCAATTACGGGATGCAAACTTACTGCAAAATAAGAGATGTGACATTCTGAGCACTTTTAAGCATATTTTGATGATGAAAGAAACTCAACGGGAGCTTTAACTTCAAAATTAGCAACTGAAGATTGATAACGAAAGAGATTAACGTGAATTTTATTTTAAAAATATGTCAGCTACACAAATTCAAGAATTAGTGAAAATTTGTGAAATGATTGTGCAACAAGAAGCACTTTGATTGCGGGATTAATAACTGTCATATTCTTATTGTTATGACATTTTTTTTGATTTACTAATATTTAACATTCTAAATACATGTATACATATGTAGCTGATTACTTTTATTAATGGTTGGAAATTGGTATTGGTCGTATTTGCAGCATCACCTTTAATGGTAATTTCTGTTGGTAATACTATGAGAGTTCGCGCAAGTGTCGCGTCAAAGAATTCTGTTGATTTATCACTTTTTAGATTATGTTTCATTTTTTAGAATGTCAAAGATTACGAAGATTTCAATAAAATCGCCCAACAAAGTATTTTGAATATGCGAACAATTGCGGCATTGAATCACGAGGAAACATTCAAAACAAGATATAAACATTCTATTGCAGGACTGCATAGAATGGTTATTCGTGATACTTTAATTATTGCCATCGGATTTGGCGCGTCTCAGAGTTTTCGATTTGGTGTCTGGGTATTGACATTTTGGTACGGGAAACTGTTAGGTGAGCAAGAATATGATTCGAATCAAACAATTAGTGTGTTGTTTTCCGGTGTTTACTGCTCAAAATCTTTGACAATAAAGTGTCTATAGCATGATTGTGCTTGTTTGATTGGTTAATTGGTTAACATTTTTTTTCTTTTCTCATGTAATATGTTTATCCCTAATACAGCTAATGCGAAAATTGTTATAATATCTGTTTTCAAATTGCTTGATAGAAAATCATTATTGATTCAACTGAAATTGAAGGAAAAATACGACCAGTACCGGTAACCGGTAAATGTAATATGTCTAATGTCAGATCTTGATGCTGAAATTCTCGTTGGAAAGAATATTGCATTAGTCAGTCCAGCCAGTTGTGATAAATCTACTATTATCTCTTTGTTCCCTCGATATTATGATGTTGACTCTGGCACTACTGTAAATATTAATCTCGAATCTTTGGGAGACCAAACATGGCGTTAGTTGGTCAAGAGCTGGTTCTATTTGATATAACTATTAACGAGAATATTGCGTATGGAAAGAATGATGTTCACAAGAGGAGATTACTGAATGAATCAGCAAATATTCATAATTTCGTTATGAGCTTACCATCAGAATATGATACGCCTGTTTGTGAAAAAAGAATTCAGTTGAGCGGTGAGCTGAAACAATTTTATTTTCAAATACATTTTATTCAATAAATCCTAATTTTACTTAACATGAATTAGCACGTCGCAATAGCATGAGCATTAATTTGAAATTCAAAACCTATTATTATTAGATTAAGCAACATCAGCACCCGACTCCGAATCTGAAAAAGTTGTAAGATGCTCTAAATCATGCCTCAACCAAAATTATGATTGCATTTTCAGGCACTGCCTAAAGAACATATGATAAAGGTTGCCATATCATATGAAAGATGGATTTTTTGACAAATTTTTTCACCACTGCAAAAATGGTTTATTTTGATCTGTGATTTGTGTTTGCTTGCCCACACAAGATATGATTTTACGTAATTCTCTCGCTTTCATTAAGCTTTTTGCCACTTATCAGAAAATCACTTTTTGAAAATTTGTTTTAATAGTATATGTCTAGTGGTTTTGACTCTTACAAAAAAGTATTTTCAAATAGTATATCATCATTAAAAATAATTATAACATTAATGTAAGTACATGTATTATGGGGTCGTAATTATGGTCATAAGTTATGAAATCAAGTAACAACACCAATATAACAAAAACAACCCGTTAAGAAATCACGTCCCAAAGGATTATATGTCACAACGGTGACACCATGTTTACAACAAGCCCCTAAAATTCCGTTTTATTCGATATCGAGACTCCATAGACTATATTCACTCTAAATAATAATAATAATTTTATTAGTACATGTATTACATGTATTGATTGGGGTGCATCATATTCAGGTACCACGGCTTGTTCTTGCTGTATATCTGATTGAGAAACTTGCGAAATAGAATCTTGTTGGTATGTTAATCTCCCTTTTTTTCGAATATTTTTTAATTGTTCACCAGTTACTTGAATTTCGTCTATTTTTGTTGCCGAAAGAAGGATTTTAGATTGATAGAATCGGTCATGTTTGGATGGGCTTTTAAGTCCCACTTGTTGAGGATTAGGCATATTCGAGTTTCAAAAAGGCTCAGAGTTAAACTAGCATAAAAATTGACGATAAAATTTATTATGAAATAAGATAAAAACTTTTTTTTGAAGTGACGGCTTTAATTTTTTTCTAACAAAAGCCGATGCATGGAACAACAATTCATAGAAAATTTAGTGTCTATTTAAAGATTTTCTTACTTTCTTATCGTTATGTAAAATTTACAATTTTCTACAATTCTCCATTATAATTTTCACTGTATACTGTACAGTTAAAAATTCAATTGTAAGATAAATTTAATACTTTAGATTAGTTTGGGGTGTACACCAAATTAATTTTGCCATTTCTTTGTAAGGCTGAATATTGTATTTTTAGTCGGGTTTCTTTTTTATGAATAATTTAAAAATTTGAATTCTTTAATTATATGACAAAATTCCATTAGAAAATAATTTCAAGTGAACTTTTTGTCAATTGAATTTTTTTGTAGCGTTTTTAAAAATTACATGCGTATATCAGCACGCGGACTAAAAAAAATTAAACCACGTTATTAAACCAAATTTATTAATTTATCTACATGTGTTAAAGACGATGTCGTAAGCAAAATCGAATATCTAAAAGAAAATACCAATAATCATATTTGTAACCTAATTGTGGTTGGAGATTTGGGTTTTAACTTTGGCCGCTTTGATGATTCCAACGCTGGTTTTGCTTCAATGACATGGGCTTGGGAAAATGAAAGCGATAGCGGTGGTAACGTTTCTTCTGCAAATCTAACGACTTCTGTTATTCTATTATCATTCCCTTCCTACATAACCAATAAAAAAATCAACCATTATCTATAGAATCAGAAAAGAATAGAATCTCAGTCATTCTTTGATGGAACCTTTTGTATGTTGTCAAAGAAACAAGAGAAAAATTGTGTATTAACATTAACCAAGTTACGAATATTTTCATATTTTAAATGTGTACAGTACTTTAAATATATTATCGTTATCTAATGCATTTTTGAATACTTATAATTTCTAATGTGTAACGGTAACATGTAAACTTTATCATTATTATAATTGTAAGTATGTATACGTTAAAGACAAAATATTTTTATACGTATAGTAATATATAATACCGACACATTCTGTACAATATGTACATTCTGTTCATTATTTCATATTCCACTTTTTGCATTTTATCTAATACAACTTCGACCTTGCAAAACAAGTAATTTCCACCTGATCTCTCCACCAACCCATTACACATCTCCATGAGTCTTCAATTGCGACACGTTGTAATTTACCTTCCGCTACCAAATAATCAACAAATGCGAAATTTAATTCGGCAAACATCAGCTTTTTCTCTAACTCTAGAAGACGCGTATTATGGTAAAGAATAATGCTATCGTTTGGTATCTGATAGCCGAGAACGGACGAGACGGTATTTCTAAATTCATGGAATGAAGTATGACGAAATATCGAAAGTTTTATTTTTAGTTTTGGAGACCAATAAATGTTAATGTGGAGATTAATCATGGACGACAGATAATTGGAGTAAAGAGAAGCGGAAGTCGTTAATGATTGTTGCGAGAGAAGAGCCGATTGATGGTGCGAAGCATTCATGTAAATTCGTTGCTTCTGTTGCTGTTTATTAATACTTGGCTCAGATATGGATTCAATTGAAGTGAACGAGAATTTGATTCTTTTCTTGCTTCGATTGTTTCCATTGATATTGATATTGCTCTTTTGTTTATTATTCTTACGATATCTAGATTCGTCACTTTCCTCAGAGACCGAGGAATCGCAAGCGTTACGACGACGCTTCAACAAATTTTTCGGCGCGACTTTTTGAATTACATTACTAAAAAATGTCACAAATTGACTCTTCCGTTTCTCTTCCGCGACGAAAATCTCCTCGTCACGAATTTGAGTAAATGGATTTGCAATAATGTTGATTTCTCCCAAGTCAACCCGATTACTGTTGAGGTTGCTATTACTGTTGGGATTCACGAATTCAAAAATTTCTTGGTGTTTTTGAGTAAATGCGAAGAATGAAGTTTTTGACGAAGAAGAGTGAGAAGACATGTTTCTTTGGAATCTAATAAATTGTTTGGTTGGTTTAATGTTTCGATTTTAATGAGATGGGAATTGAAAACGGGTGAAACCTTTTATAAAAAAATTTCAGGAAAGTAATAGAAAGCTTTTGATTACAATTAAATAGTCCATTTTACTCTAACTAAATGTATTCTGAACAATAACGAAAATTTTTTTTTGCATCTTGGTTGTTCTAATCTCATCAAAAATCTTAGGTTGATGCCATAACAATAAATGTGTTGAGTAATTAACAATACGACTACAACTACAGCGCGCGTTTATTTGATTATTATATGATCCTTAATTTTAATCATAACGAATCACCATTGTCATACATCTTCCTACCCCTACCTATCTAAACTCATCAAAATACATGTATCGGTATGGGTTTGTTTTATATGTGCATGCATGCGCGTACGTGCATCCATAAAATGATCGACAATAATAAAACGCGATTTATTTACTGAAAGTAGAAATTAATAAAAAAAGATACATGTAATTTGGATAGTTGATTGCGAAGAAAGGAATCAGCACTCTGTTTTTAACCATAACGCCGAAAATTTATAAACAAAAATATAAAAAATTTTATTTCTTATGTTTAAGTTCGTTGATTTTTCCAGTTGCCGATCTTGCCCGGATACTTTTGTCGGGTGGTGTAATATTATTGATATTTGTCGCAATTTTTTTTATTATCGTTTATTAATATCATACATAAATGAATTCCAATACTTTTGCAATCCTATTGACTTTTTCCACCATTATAGCATTAGCAAATGCTCAGAATACCACTACAAGCAATTCCACCGCCACTACCTCTAACTCTTCAGATGGTTAGATGTTATAAATATAATGGTCATTTGTAGTAATTCTATCCCGTGAAAATATGATATGATTTTTTTGTGGTAATAGAGAACCAAATAGGCCAATGTATTAAAAGGAATAACTGTGTACTCCCCGACTAGGCTTGCCGTTCCATGTGCGCAGAAGTTCCAAACATCAGTGACAGTTCAAATAACAGCAGCAGTGGAAATATTAGTACAACAAGTAATACAAGCCCTACATCAAGTAGTAGTAGCGGCTCGAACAGTTCCAATTCTTCATCGAGTAATATTGGGCCAATAATTGGAGGCATAACGATAATATGCATCGCACTAATAATTTTATTATATATAAAAGGAAGAAAAAGTATCAGAGGATGGCCAAATTCAAAATTACGTTAAGCTATTCAATCCACGCAAAATTTATCCGAAATAATACAAGAATCGAATTCTATCAATCCGGAAATGATTCAACAGTCAAATAATATTGGTTCGTTTGTGCATTCGCATCAATTACCTGAGAAGATCACAAACAAATCAAATAATCAAGTTATCCAACCAACTACAAGAAAAAATAAATTTAATTTTCATGTCTCCTTTCTTTCACCAATAAGATTTTCTAAAAAAAATAAATGTTTATTCACACATACTACATGTATTTAGAGTTTATTTAATCAATGAAGAATTTGTTTTATCTTTCTTAATATTAATGTATCCTTTTGTAAAATTAAAAATGATAAGATTTATTTTTGGGAATCCAAAATATACAGACAGTAAAGCAATAGTGATAGTAAAAATTCCATATATAAATTTTTTAATTTTATTAATAAATATACCTAAATGATGATAGTTTTACATATATTTTCTTTCGAATTTTTCTGATTTTTCTGAAAAAGTGCTCTAATCACATATAAAATGTAAAAATTATACTAATTAAAACATAATAACTTTATATACAATAAGAGCTGATTTCTCAAAAAAAATACAGGTAATGCAATACTTGAATTTTTTTTACTAATTGTAATTAGCAAAAAACTCAAGTCATGACTTTGATTTCACTATATGTAAAACTAATAATTATTAACTTCATTTTGATATAGAAGTAAAAAATATTTAATAATATTAAAAACTTTTATACATAGGGAAAGCTTCATGTCTATTATTTTTTACTATATTTTTTAGTGCAGAAATTTATCATAAATTAAAATTAAAATATTATAAAAATATTATTATATCAGTTTTTTATATTATTTAATGAATAAAAAATCTTTGAATATAAAATTTTATTAGCTAAGTGTAAAGTTAGATCTGAATATATTTTAATATTAAAATTCAAATATAATTCAAATTATATTCAAATTTAATATAAGTAATATAAATTATAAATATAATTTTTGTAAATTATATTTAAAATAAATTTACTAATAATATTATCTTTATTTTTATATTTTCTTTATTATAATTATTATTTAAATAATATTTTATAATTTATTTATAAGAGAAAACTATTTCTTATATATAAAATTCAGAATTAATTCTTGAATAATTTGAACAAATAATTATTAGTAATGTAATTATGTATTAATCTTGATAAATTATTTATATATATTATAAAAACAATTAAATAAATATCTAAATATCTTAAGAAATAAATTTATAAATAAATATATAAATTTTTTTAAGTATAACTACTTAAATATTTATTAATAATTTAAAAATATATATTTTAAAAATTTTAAATATTTATCTTTATTTATAGAGAAATATGATTATTATTATTAGATTATTATAACTATATAAAAATAAAAATTATTTTGCTATTTGAAAAAAAATCTATATTATAAATAAATTAGTTTTATTTTTAATATCTAATAAATTATAAAGAAAAATATATATTTTAAATCTAAAATATCACAAAAATATATATAATTATTATTTTTAAATAATTAAAATATAATGATAAAAAATATTTTTATAATAATTTTAAAGAATTTAATGAATTTTGATATGAGTTTCTTGATTATTCTTTATTTATTAACTGAAATATCTATATTATAAGTAAAGAGAAGAATTTTATTTTCAAGATTGAATTTTTTAAATTTTCTATATTGATTTATATATTTGAACTATCTTTTTTATGCTTTTAATAACAAATTTTTAGCTATTTTTATTATGATATTCCAATATTTCATAAAATTTTGTGAGATTGTAATATTATTTTATGATGATAGAATATTGATTAATATGTAAAATATCTATTCACAATCTAATTCAAATTATATATAACCAATTAATATTTTTTTACTATTATTATAGATGAATTTTACAGAGGCTAGATTTTTATTTTATTTATTTTGTTAATAGATAGTATATATTCTGAATATCTTTTTTAAAATTTTATTTAATCTTTCTATTTAGCTATTTGATTAAGAATAAAAGATTATTAATATAGTTAATTTTATATCTATTTATTTAAAAAGTGATTTTTAAAGCAACTTGTGAATTTAATATCTCTATCTGATATTATAATTATGAATAAGTTATATAATTTAAAGATATTTTCAAAGAATATTTTTATAATATTAAATATAATTACTATTATTATAGTTAATATAAAATATACTTTTTTTAAAAATTTATTTATAAATATAACTATAATATCCTATTTAAACTTGATAATTAAAAATTATACTATAAAATCTATAGTAATATATATTTATCTATATTCTGAAATAGTAAGAAGCTGAAGTAATTCTAAAGATTATTAATATTATTTTTATTATATTAACAAAATTTATAATTGATAATATATTTATAAATACTTTTTTTTATTTTTATCTAATAGAATTATTGAGATACAGCTATATATATTTTATTAATTCTAATATATTCTATTATTAATATATTATAAAATTTAGATAAACTCTTTGTCTTCAATATTTTATTATCAGATATATTCTTCTTTTAATTCAAAATATTTTATTTTAATCTGTTATTTAAATATTATATTATTAAAATTCTTCAAGACTTTATATATTTTTGCAAAATATTTATCTTCTTTATTAATTCTTTCTTATTAATAAAACTGGTAATAATAACTATAATATTTACTTAATATAACTAGTAAAAAAATATATTTACAATTATATTATCTTTATTAAATTTATATTTTATTTTAAAATTATTGATTTGTAAAGATTTTAACTAATGAATCTATCTCTTAAAAAGATTATATTATATTTTAATATATTTCAAAGAGATATAATTTGTGATTACTATGAATTTTTGATTTTCTAGATATAACTTTTAAAGTTTGATAGTATATATAATTACAAGTAGCTCTTTCTTATAAATCAAATAGTTTTGTTTAGCTAGTAAAAGTTTTCTTAACTCAATTATACTTATCTTGATTTTGACTTAACATAATTTTTATAGTAAAATTTAAGATATTAGTGATAGTTATGAATGATAATTTTAGATCAGATAATAATAAACTAGTACTAATCTGAAAGAGTATCAAATATTTATTATACTATTATTAAATTATTTATATTTTTTATCTTTATTTAAGAGTATTATGAATGATGATATTATTACTAAAAATTCTTTGATAAACTTTTTATAATAACTTGCAAGTCCTAAAAATAAGTAAACTTCAGATATATTTATTAATATTAATTAATTTATAATAATGATTATTTTTTTTGATCAATAAAAATTTTATTTATTAATATAAAATATTCAAGATATTTTACATATTGCTAAATTATATTATATTTTTTTTATTTGATATATAATTTATACTTGCAAAATATTTCTAGTACTATCTGAAGATATTATATATATTCTTTCTTTATCTTGCTATATATTAAGATATTATCTAGATATATAATTAAAAATTTATCTAGATAATTATAAAATATATTATTCATTAAGATTATAAAGATAGTTAATATATTGATAAGATCAAAAGATAGAATTAAGAACTTATAGTATTCATGGCAAGTTTTAAATACTATTTTATATATATATATTTTTTTGCTATATAAATTTGATGATATTCTGAATATAAATCTAACTTTAAAAAGTATTTTAAATCTATGAGTTTATCTATAAGCTCATCAACTCTTAATAGATAATAGTAATTTTTTATGATAATTTTGTTTAAATCTATATAATCTCAGTATATCTACTTTCTTATATATAAATAAAACTGATACTTCAAATAGTAAGATACTTAAATGAATGAAATCTTTCTGAATAAAATCAGCTAATTATTTTTTAAGCTTATTTATCTCTGTAAAGAAAAGTTTGTAAGTAGATCTAAATGAATATTCAGATTCTGAGATGAGATTAATCTTGTAATCTATTATTCTTTTAGATAATAATTAATTTAATAAGATTTCAGAAAATATATCTTTATATTTTTTTTATTTTTAATATTTTAGATAATAATTATTTTTCTTTAACTTTAGTATTATTAAGATATAATAAAGAATTTTGAATTTATTAATAGATTAATAATTTATTATCTTGAAATATAGATTAAGTTATAGCTAAAGTCAAACTTTACTTTATTATTTACTTATATTTTTATTATCTTTAATCTATAAATAAAGATTATAATATTATTTTTCTAATTTATAATTAAATTAGTATGAAATAATCAAGATTTATCTAGAATAAGATTATATCTTTATAACTTCAATACTTATATATCTATCTTATATATTCTATATATATTTATTTTAAGTTTATTAATCTTTATTATAATAATAATAATAATCTTTTTGTTATCTGTGAATTTAATTATGACTAATATAGTTTTCTGCAATTTAATTTTATTCTTCTATATAAATTTTTTATTAACAAAGTTTCTGAATATATTACTATCTAATAATATTCATACTAATTTATTATTTATTTGGCTATTGAATTTTAATAATCTTTTTCTGTTATCTTTTAGATAAGTAAATTCTATTCTTTTATAAGACTAAGAAGATTCTATTTTATTTATCTTTTATATTAGTAATCTTGATCTTTAATTTTAAATAATAGTTTTTTATTCTTTCTATTATTATAATAACTTTTTATCTGATCAAGTTCTATTACTATAGAGTTATTATTTTAATAACTTTTATATTAGTTCTGTGAGTAATAACTATTATTATTATATTTGCTTGATAGATATAATAATTTATCTTATTTATATATGATAATATTATAATATATAGCTAATTTTCAAGCTTTTTCTAAGATTTTTAATATCTGATAACTAATTTTTATTTTTATAGCAGATTTAAGATCTTTTATAAAAGTATATAACTTAATCTAGATTAAAAATATTATTTTAATTAATTATAATTTAAGATAACTAATTAGAAAATTATAATTAATTATAATAGCTAATTAGAAAATTATAATTAAGTTATGATA